ACCCTTGCGTTGGTTCGCCTGCGCTTGAGAGACGGGGTATCGCTGGAGGGTGTTCATGCCGAGTTTAGGCCGGAAAACATTGGTCTTCATAAAACCACAGTCAATAACGTAGCGGACACCATCTATTGTCAAGGAGGTCTCGGCAACGTTGGTGGCAACAACACATTTCCGCATGCCAGGCGGTGCGGTGTCGAGTACACCACTGGCACCCGCGCTCACCGCCTCCGAGAGGCACGGGAGCACCAAAAGCGTCTCGAGCCATTTTGGGTCCATTTCTCTCAGGCGACGCCGAACTAATTCGCACGTCCCAAGCACGTCATCACGACCGGTCATAAAGACAAGAATGTCATGTTTTCCTTCCAGTGGCATTTGGATGTGAAGTTGACAAATTCGGAACACAGCCTCCGCCACGTAGTCCTCTACAGGGGCCGCGGCGTATTGTACGTCAACGTCATATGTCTGCCCAGGAATTTCATAGAAGGGGGCATTTCCAAAAAACTTCGAAAATTTCAAAATGTCCATCGTGGCGGATGTCACCACAAGTTTGAGGTCCGAGCGGCGACGCACGGCGGACTGCAACACCCCGAGTAAAACGTCGGTGTTGACCGAGCGCTCATGTGCCTCATCCAGGACAATGACACTGTACTTGCTGACATCGGGATCTCGCACCACCTCGCGAAGCAGCACGCCGTCGGTCATAAACTTCACTTCAGTTTCATTTGTCGTGTTGTCGTCGAGATGAATGGCATAACCAACACGTGTGCCCAAGGCACAACCCATTTCTTGACTCACACGGCGTGCCACCCCAATGGCGGCAAGACGCCTGGGCTGTGTGCAACCAATAATACCGCCGCCTCTGGTATAGCCTCGTTGATACAAATACTGCACAAGTTGAGTCGTCTTCCCGCTACCTGTCTCACCAATGATGATCGAGACCGGGTTCTCGCCAATACAGCGCAGTAGCTCCTCCTTACAACGATAAATGGGCAATTGGCGTTGCAAAGCCATCAGCGCCAAACGCTTTGCGGCATAATCCTCCACGTGGCTGCTCTCTTTTGCCAAGCGGTCCCTGGCTTCTTGCACACGCTCCAACTTCTCTTGCCTTCTACGAAGCGTTATTTCTTGCTGACGGGAGCGTTCCTCTTTTTCAACATCCTCCTTTTCTGTCGCAGCGGAGGACACTGCATTATGGGCGGGGGTTTCCACCATACGTTCAAGCCTTGCTGTCTCCTTTCGTACTTTTTGCCGCAGCATCTCCGTTTCATCTTCTTCTAGTCCGTCCTCGTTCCCGGTTTTTTTTATTTCCACGTTGGAGAAGTAACTGCCGGTACCCAAGTGCTCCTCGGCTGCCTGCTGCCCCGCCTCGCCCTTCCGCAAAAGGCGTGCAAGATCTGATTTGCTCGTGTCCATCGCCTCCCGTGTGGCGCGCTCCACCTCCTGCTGCCGCCGCAGGAATGCCAGCGACGCGCTGCCTTTCGTGGCACTCTGCGCCAGTCGACACATGGAGCTCACGACGGGCAGGATGATGCTCGAATTGTCTTCCTGCACAGAGAGGGCAGTCAAGAGGCCGTCTGCTGCCCCTGTCTCCTCGCCATCGTCAGGCGTTGTTGAAGGCGCCATCGGCGGAAAGTCTTTTCCAAGACGAAAAAATAGCGGCTGGTGTCTCGTGTTCACCATGAGATCTGCCTCATTTGACGGCGCCCCCTTCGTCCCTTTGGACGTCACACCTTTGCTGTCGCCGTCCTCATTGTCGCTTTCCTCCCCTGACGCCTCTTGGCGATGGCTACGTTGACGCAGCCGCTGCAAATATTCCTCCTGGAGATAAAAAGCACTGCCGTACGCCAACTCGACCTCATCGCTCCCTGTTCCTTGCGTTTCCGTCATGTCATTCGGAGAACCCGCCGTTGCCATTGCCGTATCTATGCCCACACCATCTTCCCCCGCCGCAGCCTTGCTTGCTGACGCAAGAAGTGAGGCATCACGCGGCCGCCGACGTACATCCATCGGATATTCTTTCATGCGTACATGTAGCCATCGTGTATACGTAGACAAGAAGGAAACAAACACAACAGAGATAGGGAAAAATAGAGAAAAATAATAATAATAAAAAATACAAACATACGCAAACGTACGATTCGCAACCATATTCCACCAAATAAGAATACCGGAGTTGGTCTTCCTTTTTTTTTTTTTTTTTTTTTGTTCTCACAGTGAAAACAATTCCCTCCCCTTCAGTGAAACAGAAGAGCAACGACATGGCGCTGGACAAACCGATGGGAACAAGTGAATGTGTGCTATAAATGCGCCTACCTTTTCCCCAACTTCATGACGCATTGGCCCAGATATAATTCGCCAAAAATATAATACCCTTTATTTGCTTCACAGGTCAACGAGGAACAAAATACACAACAACAACAACAACAACAACAACAATATATACATACATATATATTATAAATAAATATATACAAGAATCAAATCATCGGGGCGCATTGTTCAGAAAAATATTTTCTACAACAAAAGTACAACAACAGAGAACGCACGACGCGACGCCCTCCAGAGGCGCCTTAATTCCTGCTCATGCACGAAGAAAGGGAGAGGTGTTGGAAACCCCCAGCACCCCGTCCTCCCCGGCGGAATGGGGGCGGGAGAGAGAGGAGAGAACAACCCACACAAAAAGAGGGGGGTGGCGCAGAATCACACATGCACATCCTTTTCACAGGTTTGTGGTGCCAGCGCCTGACTGAGGCCCGGCTCCACCCCCCAATTCCCTCGTCAAGAGATGACGGGTTGGTTCAGTCCGCCCAATGACCCTTCGCCTGAGAGCGAATGTGTGTTCAACAGCCGCTGACCAGCCAACCAACCAGCCAACCCATCAAGCAAACAAAAAGGGTGCATGAATGATATGCAAATTTGCCCATGTTTCTTGTCAACGCACGGCGTGTCCCCCTCGTTTGTGCCTCCCCAACACACACACACACACACTCTCTCTCTCTTTTTTTCTCCGCGTGTGGGAGGAGAGCGGCATTATTCGTTGCAGGGGTTGGATGGATGGGACAAGAGGGAGAAAGAAAAAGAAAAAAAACAAAACCAAATCAAAAACACAATTTCCTTGTCTTCAGACGCGATATGTTAAAAAAGAAAAAAAAAAAAGAATAAATAAATAAATAAATAAGTCCAGTAACTAAATAAGATAAAAACAAACAATGTATCAGCGACATGCGTCATCAACATTTTCCCTTCTCCCATTCTTTTCCCCTTCCCTTCCCTTTCCCCCTCCGCCCGCCCATCTCTGACCAGAGGCTTTTCCTAGAAACTCATAAAGGCAAATAAATAGTAATAAAATTTTTAATAATAGATGAGAAAAATAAGTAAAAAATATTGGCCCCAACAGCCTCTTGTAATTTTATCCTCAAAATTATTTTATTTTTTAAAAAGTTCTCTCCCTCTCTCTTTCTCCCCTCCCCCCCCATCTCTATATTGGTTTCTCTTTTCCACCCTCAATTGAACCACTTATCCTAATGAATCTCCCGCTCACTTGTAGCGTAGAGAATCTCCCTTCTTTTCATTATTATTAGTATTATTTCTTCTTTACCTCTTTCTTGTCAGAAACACGGCTGCTAGGCCTGTTGCCTCTTCAGCAACTCCTTCAGAGAGGCCTGATCCCACACGTGATACATGAGCCCGGCTATCAGCAGCAGAATCACCCCCCCAATTTTGTGCCCAAGAATACCGTGCGCACCATATACATCCCATTCGGGCACTATGATGAGCATAAGGCTCGTCACGGGGCCGGAGAGCTGCAGGACAACGGAGGCAAGCGTGGGGGAGCGCTCATTGAGGTACGCGCAGCCGACAAAACTCATAAAAAACCCAAGTGTGTGTAACATGCCGTACCGCACATTGTTCCAGTTCTTAAAAATATAGTCGCATGACGCGCGGAACCCCGTCCAAGCGTCGGCGGCAGTGGGAGAAACGCCAAACCATGGAATGGCGTCCATAGGTACGCATGCAAATGACACAAGAGCTTGAAAGACGATACCAACGAGAAGCAAAACCGCCTTGGCGGCAAAGTCATTTTCGTTCTGTTTCCCCCATTCGCGCTGCGCCAACAGCAGAGGTTCACTGAGCGTGTCCTCTTCTTTTTCATGAATGTCGTTTTGGTATCGCGTATGTGCCGCATTGGGTGAAGGCTGTGTATTCACCTCGCATTGACCGCCGTCTTCCACTGCCGCTTTTTTCTCCACCGGCCCAATTTGTGTCGCTGACAAATCGACGGAATCTGCGCGACACACCGGCGCTGCGCTACCCGGTGACGCCTGTGATGCATCCGCCTCGCGGACAAACATCACGGCGTCAAGGTAGAGTCGTTGCACAACACACCACATGCCAAACACAACGGCACTGGCAAGGTAGATGAGCGTCCAGTTCCACGGTGCCTTTCGCCCCGTCTCTGAGAGATCCAAGAAGGAAGACATGGACGACAACAGTACGCCTGCCACAAAGAATACAAAGGAGGCGATGAGGGTGACGGAAAGATATCGTCTTTTCCGCTCCTCCGGTATGAAAATGTATGTCCACAGCTGCGCACAAAAGGGAATCACGCTAAGCAGCACCGCCTGCACAAATTCAGGGGTATATGACATGGCGTGGACTGCCAACACGCCTGTTAAGGCGTTGGTGGCGCCGGAGGCAAACAACAACATAAAGCGAAACAGCGGACCCCGCACGCGGTTCGTGTCAACCAACGCATGCCACAGTGGTTTCACGCCATATATAGCAATGAAGAGCGCCCCAACAAGGACAAAGCAGATGACGAGGAAGCAGCAGACAATCACCTGGACAGCAATCTGGCTGGCGTTGCTGGCCGCTTCACCGGCGGGAAAGATAGAGAGCCAGAAGTTCAACGCAATGAGCAGAATAACGTTCCCGATGATCACCACCAACACACAAATGATGGCAAAAAGAAAGCCGCTGGTAAACTTCGCCTCCCGCATATCCTGCCAACTGACTTGCCATTCAGAGACTGTGGCCTCCCATATATTTTCCAACTTGCGATGCCGAGCCATCGTTCCCCCACTTTCCTTCCCTTCACTTTCTTCTCGCCAAGCCGCAGTTTTAAAACAAAATTACCTCTGATATATATATATATATATATATATATATATATATATTAAATGGAACACAAAAATGAAAAATGAGCTTCTCTTAAAGACAAAAACAAATTTTCCCCTTTTTATTTACCCAATGAGAAGACAAGTAGTGCTTTTTATGACCTTTTTCCTCTCTCCCTATATATATATATATGTGTGGGTAAAATCAACAGACAGTGGTGTAGGAGAAGCAGCCCCCTGTTGTGCAGCAGCAATGCAGAAATTCCCACGTGTAATAAAATAAAATAAGGAGCATGCAGGTGGATCATGTGCAACTAATTATTTTCACACATATGCGGGCATGTGGTAACAAATCCTGTGACTAGAGACGTGGAATTTCATCATCAACAGAAACAAAAACATCCATCTGATGCGCTCAACACATGGAGGCATTTTACCTTCCTTCCTTTCTCTTTCTCGTAACAACCCACTGTCAGTTGCCCATGTCGTACGCTGCCCGCCGCTCCGGGTCGCGCAATACGCGGTAGGCCTCATTCAACTTTGCCATGCGCTCCGACGAGCCACCGGCGTCGGGGTGCTCTGTTAGCACACGTTTGCGATAAGCCGAGCGAATCTCATTCACCGACTCTGTCCCCGTAAGACCCAGCGCCCTGTAATAGCCACGTGAATCCCTCACAGGACCAGAGGAGTGTTGCCGGTTCTGAAACGCATGCGTATCCCAGTACGACGATCGACGATATTCTTCCTCGACGCGTTTCGAAGACACGTGTGGACGGAAGCCGTCACGGTCCTTTTCTTCATGCTGCATGCGTAGTTTCTTTCGTTGCCACCGGAAGTAATCACGACGACGTGATGGGAACATCTTTGCGGCGTAGAAAGCAATGTAGTACACCGGAACGGATATCAGTGAACCCAATGCCAGGCCTGTGACTTTGTTAGGCCATAATAACATAAACATTCCTGCCACACTCAATGCGGAGAGCCGAGCGGCGTACAGTGCGTTAATCAGAAAGGGCCCACTCACCGTGCCATTGGTGCCACTCACATACAACGTATACTCTTGTCTATCATACTGCGCCTTCACCACGTAACATGGGACAAAGACGGGAGTGACCTCCTCTAGTCGAATATTCAACTCGAGAAACTCCACACCTATAGTCGAAGCCCCGGGATGAAAGGAACGAATGATCGCCCGTGCCGTCTCTGTCGCCTGTCGCTTTACTTCTTCTTCCACGAACAGCTTTAGCGTGGCTGTGGACTGCTCAAAAAGATTAATCGTGGCCTGCGTTGCATCCACCATACTCATCTTGCGCAGGTACAATGGATTCTCCTCGTTGCGCAGCGCCGTGTGCACATGGCGGATGTTATACTTGTACCCTGCGTATATCTGCGTCTGGTTTGGGCCAAAGATAGTATTCAGCGGCTGTGGCGCTGTTGTCGTGTGACGGGAGCCGCTGTGCATGTTGCCTTTCGAGTCGGTCGTACTGTCACTATAACTCACTGTGCCACGAAAGATGCCATGAACAGTTCCTTGACAGTAGTAGAAGGGAAGAAACTCTGCTGAGGGGCTTCCAAGGTTCAAAAACTCCTGCGAGGCGCCAAGCCAACGACTGCCGTACTTCCGCCTAATATGCGCAACCGCTTCATCGGCGCCAACCTGAAACTGCAACCCGCGCGGGGAGTGCACCGTCAGGCGGAGCACAAGACAGATCCGAATCATCAATGCGCTAGTACGAAGGGAGAGCAAGTAATCGCGTATCAAGCAAACGCAGAAAAAAACGGACAAACAGAAGCACACAAGAACCGCCCCCGTATGTCTGTGTGTATTTGTGGTCAACAAATGCCCTTGCAGCAGTGAGACGCAAAGAAAAAGAAATAAAAGACGCGAATTGTAACGACAGTGAATCATTCGTGACATTCCACACTGATTCTCCCACTAAAACAACACCACCAGCAAAAGCAACAATGTAAACTGTCTCCGTTTGGCGTCGTCCACCTCTATCTCTTTTTTTTTTTTTTGGCGTGCGTCCTTCCATCATTATTGCTTTTTCATGCGCTTACCTCACTGCATGCAATTTCGGCCCCACACTTCCTCATAATACTTCCCCCCAGCCACCTCCACCGTCAATGCCGAATGCGCATGGATGTACGGAACTGCACCACGTCAATGGCCACCATGTTGTTCTCCGCGTTTGTCTCTTCTCCGTTCGCATCATTGCGTGACGCCCAACGCATCTCAATGGTGGGCGTGGGAACAACCGAGAGCTTCTGCTTCCTCCGACCCAGCTGTACGGCCTTCCCATGCTGGTCGTCCTCGCGCCCATGGGGCCGACGATCCGCCTCTCGCTCGGCAAATGAGCAAAACAGCGCCGGAACTGGCACTGCCGTGAAGTACAACGTCTCCTCCTCCATCATAGAAAGCACACGACGAAGCCGTTGCTTCCCAGTAACCAGCCATGCGGAAGGATCGGCCTTGAAGGTAATAAAAAATTCCTCCTCGCCGTCACTGTTCTCCGGCCAGTTGTGTGCAAGCGGCTCCAACGCCACAGAGAAGCGAATGGGCTCACCGATAGGAAACACACAGCCGCCCGGAAGATCCACTGGCGACGCCCCAACGGGGGCTGGAGCGTCATCGAAAGAATCCTCACCAATCGTTTCAATGAGGTTCCGCACCAATGAGGTGGGTTTTCTGGTTGCGTCGTCTGCAGACCCCGGATGGCTCCAGTGGTGATCTTTAAGATGCTGCGGATCTACAAAAATGATGGCATTAAACAAGCAAGAGTGCTTCGATGTAAACGTCCCTACGGGAGCCTGGAAAGTGTTACATGTGGCCCGTAACTTCTCCAACTGCGCAGAATTGCAGTAGAATTGTGGGTGTTTGACAGTAAAAAATGGCCGCTCCGCGCCACTGCTGTTCACTGATTTTGTCCCTGTGCGATCTTGATGGCTCTCCAACGCTCCAACGAGACTCTTTTCGGCAGTTATCCCAACAGCAAGTGGGACTACGTCAGGGCTGTTGTCACCAGAGGAATGCCCCGAGTAGATGTGCATCGGGCGCAGAATGTGCGCGTCCAACGGCGTCATCTCTGACGCCATTGACCAACTCGAATATATCAACTGCAGTCGCACACGATGGCAAACCTCCTTCTCACGGATGCAGGAGTCAGAGCAGGGGGTAAGTTCAAAGAATAGATGCATCGTCTCGTGAGGCTTCCACTCACGCAACATGAGACGCTCGTGGGTGAAAGAGACCCGGGTAAGTTTATAATAGCACTCTGTGTCTAGCAACTCCAGAAACGCACCACGGAGCCAGAGAGAGGTCTTATTCAGCACATTCTCCACCTGCACAAGACAGTACACACGACTCTGAAAGCACTTAAAGGCATATTGGACATTAAAAGCCTGAGCAAAGCCAAAGGGCACGGACACACTGGTGGTGCATGACTCCATTTCGCGCTGACAGCAAAGTGACACCTGCGCACACTCGTCTGTGCTCGACATAAAGATGGGCAGGACGGGCAATAGGCACTCAAGACGTGTTTTCCCCAAAAACTTACCGAGGTTCTCCTTTTCCTCTTCTTGTTGATGCTGACGCTTGGTTTCGTTAAGGCAAATTTTAAAGCAACACTGTGGTCTCGGTAACGTTAGTAGTACGCTGCCCTCCAGATGCATGGAATTCACACAATCTCCCTTGCCATCCTCGCCACACAACTCTTTTTCTCCTCTACAACTACGGAAAATTGTTGGTAGTTTTGCCATGATACGTTGTTCATTGACCGGTACCGTGGTTAATGCACCCGTCTTTTCATCTGAAATGGACACCATAACACCTGAGGTACTCATCTTGAGGCCACTCAAGGAGCTGTTGGCAAGATGATCGGTATCGGTACGGCGGATTGCTGCCACATCGTGCAGCAACGTGCTCTCCCTGAAAGACCTCTGCGCTGGAGCGTTGATGGAGGCTGAAGTAAGCGATGGGCGATGCATGGCGTGCCGCCTTGGAAGATGGACGTAAATAAGGGCCAATGCCCTTGGATCCTGCTCCGGCGCTGGCTCCGTCATAAAGTGGTGACGCGAATCCCACTGGCCCGGTGAACGCATTGCGGTTGTAATTGTGCTGGCAACTGAGCCTGGCGGGACAAGCGCATCAAAGGAACAATTCTTGCAGCCCACACCGTCGTGTCCCGCCGATGCTGCGGATGATAACAGTGATGCATGAGTCGTGCTGTCCTGCGGAACACTCAGTGGCCGCTCCATTTCTACACGAACTCTAAAAAAACTCGGCATGTCACCAAAACAATGGGACTCATTGGGTGGAGACACATGCAACCGGATGCCAATGTCTGGCTCAGGCAACAAGAGCAAACACCGTGGCATCGCTCTCCCACTACTGGAGACATCGTCAGCCGGCGGGGTGGCAATTCTTCCAGCAGACAAAGTTGAGGTTTGGTCATGCACGTACACAAGCGTTGTCATACCCACACGCAGCGTGATGCAGAGAAGATGATACTCGCCAGCTCGGCATGGATGAAATTCCCATACCCACTGAACTCGCTGCCTCTCCTCGTTATAGGAAGAATGCACCACTTTGGTCACATCCACGAGATGTATGGGTTCCAGGGGGTCCGTCCAATCCTTCTTTGACGCAAGCATTGCAGTGAGTGTGATACAGGAACCTTCCTCTTCCTCCTCCTTCGCGGGGCCCAAAATGTCCACAAGGCAATTGACATGGAAGTGGAGAAGGAACGTGTCCCCAAGCTTTGCTTGCATCTCGGGAAACGCGGGCATGGCTTCCACTTCCCCCGCGGTTTTCAGTTCCGTTGATGATGTCGTTTCGTCCAACTCCCGTTTTGACTTCTCCCGCAGAGAGTCCGATTGCAAACAGAACACGTGTGGATCCCGGAGTAAAAGGGAAAGACTATAACTCGGCTCCTCCCTCGCTTCATTGCGGCTCTTCCATCTGCTATCAATTTCTCTCAGACGGCGCCACCAAGTTGCCGGAGAATGCCTCCCGCAGAGAATATAAATTTCTTCCCGCAACGCGCCGCGCTCGTTGAGGGCGCCAATGATGTACAAAATCGACTCCTTCAACACCACCGTTTCCTCTTCGTTTAGCGGCGGTTGGCAGATTTCTTCGCGTTGCCGCATGACAAGATCCATCGACTCCACAAACAGGCAGTGAACAACAGCCTGAAGCTGCAGCCAGCCCTGACGCCGGCAAAAGGGAATAAGCCGCTGCCGACACAACTCGGCGGTCACGGCGGGATTCTCTACGCGGTAAGAAAGTGCACACTTGTAGTACAGTTCGTGTGCAAGACGCCGGTCGCCCAGCAGGGAATACCCAATAGCAGAAGTCTCCGCGAGTGTCCGATAAAACGACGCAAAGGCAGCAACGGAGGCAATCTCCGGCATCCCAAATTCTGAGACTTCTGGTGGTGGTAAATGCGGAGGTAATGCGGACGGAAGCGGAACGACCATCTCGCCTGTCTCACGATAGCCAATGACGGCTGCAAGATCCACAAGAAACTCCAACGCGTCTGTCGAAAGTTTAGTGAGCAGTCGACACATCCAACGCGAGTCCTTGCACCAGGAAACGTGGAGAATGCGACACAACGTCAGCAGTCGCTCTGTCATTGCCACACGGTTGACCTTCATCGCATCTTTTCCGTCCCCCTTTCCTCCCTCTTGTTCTGCTCCTTCTCGTTGAGCCTCCGACCCCTCCACGAAGTTTCCAAGAGAAGACACCAAAATACTTTCCATGTTGAGTGAGGCAACGGAGGTGCCCCACTCGTTCATCACAGAGGTGGATAATGTTTCGGAGCAATCTAAACTGCCCCGATGCCGTTTTGACGATGGCTCACCATCCCCTTCTACTTGATGGTGCTGAACCGTATCGGCCAACCTCGATCCAACTGATGCCGACATGTCACCTACGCCAGTCCCCAAAACCGCAATGTTCCAGTTTAGCCGCATCGCGGAGAGTGCGCAGCGAAGCAGGAAAAAAAGCTCCCACACTTCTGTAACTTTTGATGTAGTCTCCTCCGCGAACTTCTCCCGTGCCACCTGCAAGAACTCCTTATACCGCGCAAAGGCGGCATTGCGAAGCCCAAGTTGCAGCGCACACCACATCTCGCAGGCTACGATAAAAAGAAGCCCCTCCAAAATCTCCGCCTCGTCCAGCAAAACGGACGGGGAGCCATCACTCTCGGTCAAAAAGGCCCTGGGATCAAAGACGTTGGGAAGCTTTCCCAGCCGTGCGAGTGTCGCCCTACTCTTCAGAAACCCGTAATCCTCGGAGTGGTAGTAGTACAGGCTAAACATTTTTGCAAAGACTTTCATAGCTTCACTCACAGCGCCAAAATGCAAAAGGTGTATCGCCAATTCGTACCCTCTTCGCCACCACTCATGCAGGTCCCACACATCCGCCGTCCCTGTCGCAATGCCGTTGCTATAATTACTGTTGCTGCAGCTGGCGTGTGAAGAGCGTAGCTGACGCTGCTGGTAACTATCAAACGCCGCAGTCAGCCGTGCGGTACGTTCAGCAAATACCGCCCGCAGCCGTTCAACAATGCGGATAGGAGCCTCATTAGGAAGGTACGCACACATCTGATGCGGCGCAAAGTGGAGTGCTTTGAGTTCCTCAAAGTACGGCTCCAATGCCGCCACAGCAGCATCCGCCTTCCTTTGATCCGGTTCCTTCGCCCCATGAACGTCACCGGGCAAACCAGATGCCCGTTGTGTATTGAGCTCGCCGCGT